CAGGGTTCAGTTGAAGTCTGTTGTGCTTACAGCCTCCAGGCACCACAAAAGAATACCCATAGTAACAGGAATGGAGATGTATAGCTGGGTATCATCAGCCTATTGGTGATACCTCATCCCATGGTAATAGATGATCTCACCAGGTGCTTTCATGTAGATGTTGAACAAGAGCAGAGAAAGCACCAAGCTGTACCTATCACTCCCTAACAACACCAATTGGGAGTGACTTTGGAGGAAGGAAGTGAACCATAATAGAACTGTGCCACTCATCGCCAGCTTCCTAAATTGGCCCAGAAGAATACTATGGTTGATGGTATTGAAAACCACCAAGTGGTCAAGAAGAACAAAGATGGATGCACCACCTCCATCCCGCTCCCACCAGAGATCATCAGTGACCATAGAGATCATGATTCTTCAAACCTGAATTCTTCATTGTTCCCCACCTATAAACAGAATCCTGCCAGATTAAGCTCTGGACTATCTGCATCTACCATATACTCTGAGCGCTATGTGGGAGAGGTTGTCTTCATCTTCTTTCTCTCACACATAATATCTGGGTTGAATTGTCTCTTATTCCTCTGGGATGTACTCTCTCTACCTTGAAATCCAGCCTACTATATTCCATCACAGCTGGTTAGACAGTTCAACTGTGCACCAAACATAATCCCTCACTGAAATATACCCAAATATTGCAGAACACAAAGAAACCAAAATAACCAAATGCAAAAGCAAGTGTTGAATATAAACGTGGTTCAAACAACAATTCTCTGTTCTTGACAAGTATTCTGATAGGTAATATGATATGCTCTTTAGGCTATCACCAAAAGATTCTAGTCAATGGCTTTGGCTCCATAAAATCCAGGTTTTCTCCTATTCAGCTTGCTTTGATTCTGGTTTTATCTCTGTGGTTGCAAGAGAGCATGGATTTCCCAGAGAATGAGACACACATAAAAATATCCAGTTGAATGTCCTTGAACATTAACAAGATACTGCAGCTCTGCTCCATTTTTATCTATGCTGTGCATGCATCTGAACAATGCTGGGCATTGCAGATTGAAGATTTCCAGACTTGACAGTGGGGAGAGGGAGATACTGTCATGTTTTTGATACCTTGCTGCTTTAAAAGAAAAAAAGAAACTATCCAAGGAAAGCTGGTGAACTTGGATGCACCTTCCGCCTCCAGCTTTTGGTAAACAAGCAGAGACATGAACACAGCTACCCCAGCAAAAGACTGCATCTCAGAGGTCTGATCAGGCAAGCTCTAGCTGGCCAAACCACTGCATATAACAAAGTTTTATTTCTTCTCTCTCTCTCTCTCTCTCTCTCTCTCTCTCTCTCTCCCAGAGCTTCAGTTACATTTCTTCCATTTCCTGTGGAAAAATGAAAGCTTTTGAAGCCTGCATGCCTATAATATAGGCAGCTCAAACATACACAAAGCTGACACAAAAAGAATTGAAAAGAGAAAGAAAGATAAAGCAGAACAACTCTGCCAAAAAGTCACTTAGGAGATTCAGGGCAGGGGTTATGGGGAATATATCCCCTAATCCATTTTCAAGGCCTTAAAAAAAATCCCCTCTTGCCATTATTGGGGTTTGTTGTCTTTATTCCCAGATATGCAGATCAAAAGCAAACCTCAGAAATATATTTAAAAAAAACTCTTTCCTCATCAGTTTCTTCAATCTTTCAAATGCACACTTTAATATATGCATGAAAGCCAGTTCAGTGTAGTGGTTAAGGCACCAGACTAGAAAACAGTAGACTGATTTTGGAATCCACCAAGGGCTACATTTATATTTCATATACCATATGTATTCTGTGTCAAGAGAAGCATTTTGCCTGAAATATAGTATTTGCTCTTCATCTGTCACTGTAATAACAAGAGCTGCACATTTGTAAGATTAGGCAAGTCTAGGAGTGTTACCTTTCAAACCAGTTAGTCTAGGAATATGGCCAGCATTATAGGAGGACCAAAAAAAAAGTAGTCCAAAAATGTCAAACAGCACTCTGGGGCAATAGTTCAGGAATCTGTTCAGGAAAATTAGTAGGAAAGCTCTCAAATAGAGGACTGCTGGTTTGCCACCTAATGTTTAGAACAGTGGTTCTCAACCTTTTTATACGGCGACCCCGGTATTAAGCAGGCGGCGCACATGCGCGGGGGCGCTCCCTGCGTGGCATGCATGCGCGGGCTGCCCTGCATGGCACGCATGCGTGGCGGCACCTCTGCATGGCGCGCATGCGCGACGACACCCCCTGTGCGGCATGCATGTGCGGCGACACCCCCTGTGCGGCACGCATGCGTGGCGACCCCCCCATGCGCCGCCCCAGAAAAAAAATGGCGGATCGCATTGTTTGGCGACCCCCGTGAAATGGTCGTTTGACCCCAAATGGGGTCGCGACCCACAGGTTGAGAACCGCTGGTTTAGAATCTAAGCATCCCTTTTAATAGAAGCAAACAAGTCCACAATTCAAAACCAAGCAGTGAATAGACTGTGTGGAAGTATATGTGTCCCAAAATAATGTTGCAAGATCCAATTTGGGTCGGTCGCCAGAGGTTTACTCTTCCCAGCTTTTAGACTAATGTTGGAAGCCATTTTCAGGGAACTTCTCTCTACTGGTGATTGGCTGTTGTTTCCTTGTGCTGCCAAGCCCTCGGCTCCTAAGTATCTTATAAGCTGGTAGTAAATCAGCATTCCTGTTGAGTGACAAGGAACCTGTTAGCAGCACAAGGAAACAACAGCCAATCGCTGGCCATCAACAGACCAATCAACCAATAGGAAGGCACCACGTAAATCCGACTCATAGAATAGCCCACAGCACATATTCCAGTAGAGAGAAGTTGCCTGAAGATGGGCTCCAGCAGAGTCCAAAAGCTCAGAAGAGTAAACCTCTTGTCCTGGTGACTGACCCAGATTGGATCTAGCAGAATGTGTGGACTTCAAATCCCATAATTCCCCAGCCACCTGGAATAGAAGGATCATAAATATACTGTGCTTGCAAAAGAGTGAATCAACTTGTAATAAGGAGGCACCTATGATAGTTAATACTGTTTTTTTAACTGCTTATACAAAGGCACCAATAAACTGAAGTTAAGACCTTACTGTGCTAAGGAGTCCTATTCTTTTATAATGTGCAAAACCTGATCAACTCCTCACTTAGTTATGGCACATTTGGAAGACATGCAAATTTCATGGGCTACTCTGCTCATCCCCACAACTGTTGCTTCTAATGTCTACATGTTACATGTAGACAAAGGTTGATTCGTCCTTATGCACAGATTTGAGGATGAATGGGCTTTAGCAATGCAAGTAAAATGATCCAAGGAATATAGGAAGAAGGAGTTAGGTAGATGAAACAAGTGCTGCCCTCAGAAATAGGTAAGTGAGCAGCAGTACAGTCAGTTGCAGAGATTCCCAGAAATAATCTGCACGTTTCAAGAAAAATACTACATTTGTTCCATTGGAGAAAAGTACTGCTTTTTCCCCCCACAAAGAAAATATCTACCCAAAATCTCTGCAAAGAGGTTCAGATAGATTGGGATGCAATTGTTCTCAATACTTCAAGAGTACAATGTTTCTCAGTATAGGCTAAAATGTGATCAATTAGTTAGCAGTTCTGGATGCCAAGCATCTCAATTTGTGTCTTTTTGTAATACAGTGTGTTGATCCAAGCCAAACAACAGATTCAGTTAATCATGGGCTAACATAGTGCATAAATATGTTCATTATTTAGCTGTCACTCAGAAGACAAAATAACCTTACAGGGCTGATAGATGTGTAGTTCTTACTACTATAGGATACTGCAAGATAAATTCTTTGTCCCCAAAGCTATCCAGTCACATTCAGCATGGGAAGGTTGAAAGGCAACAGATACACCCTTCATAGTGACAGATCTGTAAACACAACATATACTCTTCAGTCCCTCCCAAACCCAAATCATGGGAGGAAGCGGAATTCAGCCTCCCTAGGATCCTGTGGCTTAGCATAGTAACATTTCTCTAGAACGGACAGACTTCTCCAAATTAACCACTTTAAACAGCATTCTGATAAAAATCCAAAGTACAGCTGTCACCAACATTTCTAGGAACATCAAACAAAAGCTGCAGCCTTCTCAAACACCACATAGGGGACAGGCTACCATTCTGTAATTTGACAGAATCAGGAGTACAAATTCAACAAGTGAGGCCCAATTATTAGTACGCAACCTTTGGAATACAATTCACCTTACAAGTTAGAATAAATTAATGATGGCCAGTTTGTTATATCAATAAGGATATGAGGCCATCAGAAGCAACAATGAAAAGTAACATCGCAACAACTCCACACTCCAAACATAGAAGTTCAACACAATGAATGACACCAAAACAGCCAAGCTGATTTGGAAGTCAACCCTGATTTGATTAGTAACAAAACTCAAGCACAATTAACATAAATGTCCCACGTTAACATTCTTAGCTAAAAGTTTCCATAGACAGATGTCCATCTCATTGAATACATCAAACCCAACAGCCTTCTGATGGCCAACACATCTAACAAGCTACTACTGCCATCATCCCTTGCTGTGCTAGCTAAGGATCATGAGGTTTGCAGTCTAACAGATCAGGCCACTAATTAGGTCTTAGGCTAATCAATTATTCTGGGAAACTTATCACATTCCTGCTGGTTTCACTGCCACAGGCCCAAGTGGATATTAGTATAGTAGTAATAGTAATTACTCCAGAGTAAGTCTGCATAGAGCAATCAGCTGCATTCAACAGGGACAAGGTATTCTGATTATCTTGCCTTTAACCCCTTCCATCCAGATCCACCTAAATGTTCCCAATAAAACAGACACCCCCTTCTTTGCAGAGCCCAGGCACCCTTTCCCTCTCTCGACGCGCGCGGGTGCAGGGAGCAGGTTCAGCTCTGTGGGGCGGCCGGGCGCGCCAAGTCTGCAGACTTCCCCTTCTCCCCTCCCGCCACAACAGGTGGGCAGGGTCCCTGAGCAGCGCCCGCCTGACTCACCGCTGGCGTTTTTCCCGCAGATGAGGTGCTGGTAGGGCTGCAGCAGGCCCCACAGCTCCGAATCGTTATTGACCGTCTGCTCCAGGGACTCGAGCGTAAACTTTGGCGCTTCGCTAGCGGTCAGGCTGCAGCCGCCGCCGCCGTTGTTCGTCTCTCGCTCCTTGCTGGCGGTGGCGGCGGCGGCGGCAGCAGCAGCAGGGGGCAGACTGGCGGCGGAGGCGGCGCAGGTCCCGCCAGAGCCGGCGCTTGAGCAGGGGCCCCTGTGGTGCAGCTGAGCCTGTTGCGGCTGCGGCGGGGGATTGTTTTGGTGGGGCTGCGTCTGGGGCTGGTGATGCGGCGCCGAGGCGGCGAGCTGCAGGACTCTGGCGTAAACCTCTCGGAAGAGGTTCTCCATGCAGGCGGTCAAGTAGATGGCGGCGTGCTCGTGGATGCGCACGGCCACCCGGCTGTCCACCATCCAGCGGTAGAACTTGCCCACCGAAAAGGTGAGGCCGCAGCGGGTCGACTTGCCCCGGCTGAAGCGGTCGCCGCCGCTGCTGCTCATGTTGTAGAGGGACAAGGCGCTGAGGGCGGCCGCCGTGCAGCTGGCAGCCAGGCTCCAACCCAGGACGATCTCCATGGCGCTCTGGATCTCGTACTTGGTGCATTTGGCGAAGCGCAGGCTCAGCCGCTGAGCCTCCCTGGCCAGCCGGATGAGCGCCCGGCTGATCAAGATGGAAAGTCTGGCCAAGGCGTCTCTGCAAGGGGGGCCGCCGCCATCGCCGCCGCCGCCGCTGCTGCTGACGGTGGTGGAGCTGGCTGCGCTGCTGGAGCTGGCGGCGTGGGCCACCCCCAGCCCTCTGGCCTCTTTGCGCTGCGGGAGGAGGACCGCTTCCACTTCGTCGAGGCTCCAAGGAACCTCCTCAAGGTCAGGCAACAGCCTGGAGCAGTGCTGCCCGGAGCAGTCCAGCACTTCGGAGTCTTCCACCAGGACAGTGTTGACGGTGTCGAAGCTATTGTGCCGACTGTGCATGGAGTCAGTTAGAGGCTGCTGCCAGCTGTTTCCTCCATAGGGGTAAGCCGAGTGAGGGGAATCGGAGCAGCAGAGGGACAAGTTGGAGGACCTGACGGAGTCTGCAGCACCACCATACCCCGAGTCCAGCGTCAGATCTTCCAGCGTCCTCACCACCGTCTTACCTCTCCTTGCCATCACTGCACTTCATGCTGCACCAGCCGGAAACTTTAAAAAGAGAAAGTCGTCGGCGTCGCCCCGAAAGCCTCCGCTCCTCTCTCGCGGGCTTGAACTTCGCAGCACCCACGTCTGGCCTGACTTTCGACCAGGTCCGCCCGGCAAATGCGGTCCCCCTACGCGCTCCGCATGGGCAGAAGAACGCACGGCGAAGAAAAACCACGAAACGCCCCTCCCTTGCTTCCCAGTTCGCCGTCCGCTCTTCCCCGACTCCGACACTGCACTACCCCGCACGCTCAAGCCAGCCGAAGGAGGCAGGGGAGGTGGGGAAAGACGGGAGGCGTGGTCATGCAAATTACTTCAAAAGGGAACCAATGGGAACGCTCTTCATTTCTAGCTTCTGGAACTTGCCCCCTCCCCTGGCAGCTACGACGCCGGAGCAGTGTCACTTTCTCTCTTTCCCCCTCTTAAAAGAATATGTATTTAGTATTTAGATTTAGTTATGGTTTATATTTTCTTTTAGATTATTTGAAGAAATTTTAATTAAGCCTATGTTCAGCTCTGGGAAGGTCGGGGGAGGGAATGGGAGGGTTGGGGAGGTTTGGGGATGGGTTGTTTTGTTTTTGTAAAATTTTAAAAACTTAATATTTACAATAAAAAAAAAGAAAAAGAATATCCATATTTCTCCAACAGGCTCCGTCTCTGCGCTCCCAAATTCGCTGTTTTCGGGAGTGGGGAAGGGGCTTTGATCTCGCCTTCCCGGCCCGATGATTTGTTTTGAATTACTCTACCACTGAGGTCGGGCCGGCGAGCTGAGGAAATCGAAAACCCGCAAGATCTCGTAGTAATCCAAAACAGATCGAGGGGTTGATTCAATGCCCCGGGAAGCAGCGGTGGCGATTTTTTTTTTTTTTTTTTAATGCCAAGCTTCGGATATATGTTTACGCAGCAAGCGGTGGGAGAAAACATCCATTCGAAACATCATTTAAGATTCAGATAGAAAAAAAGCAGTAGCAGTGACTCCGGTTAAGTTGCTGTCAGTTACTGGTTCTTCACTTGGTTTCACATGGAGGTGTTACGTTGTTGCCAACCGTCGGATCCTGGGATTTGCGGGAGGGCGGAGCGGGGGGAGCTTCTCTGCAGGTGCGGAGCCGCAATCTCCCTCGAGTACTTTGCCTCCCCTTTAATTGTACTTACCTCGCTTGAGGGCAGGGAGGAACGACAGTGGCAGATTGGAGCATCTGCTCTTCAGTGCGATCAAGCAAGTCCAGGTGGTTGTAACAGCATCTGTCGGAAAATTTACCGAGGAACGGGCTTATGCGAGACGGTCGCTAGCTCAGAATAAACGGAGGATCGATCTCTTTGGAAGGCACTGCTTGCAAGTGGAGAGGTCAAAGGGAATCACCTCCGACCTTTCTGGGTGCCTAATATGATCCCAAACCCCCTTATTTCAACCTGCAGCACCACCGAACTTTTGAAGGTTCGAGGATGCACTAAAACAAAACCTCTCCTGGTAATAGAATCTCCCGCAGCCACAGAAAGAGATTGGGAATAATTATGAAGACGAGGGTGCAAATCAAACCTGTATTCCTCAACCTGGTGATTGGCAGGACTTCAGTTCTTCTAAACCTCAGCTAAACTTGGCCACCATTGGCCAGGGATAATAGTAGTCCCCCGTTGGAAAAGGGTATTCAACTAAGAGCTTGCAATTCCAGAGGAACCAACAAATCTACACTATCAGCTTTCTCCAAAACAGCACCCTCCAGATATGTTCTGTTACAGGGGTCTTCAGACTTGGCCCTTTTCTGACTTGTGGACTTCAACTCCCAGAATTCCTCAGCCAATTCTGGGAGTTGAAGTCCACAAGTCAGAAAAGGGCCAAGTCTGAAGACCCCTGTTCTATTATAACATCCACTGACTTTTTCAACAGAGCTTTGTTGGCTGAAATGAAATCAATTGTAGTCCAACACATCTAGAAGATGGTTTGGGAAAGATTGCTATTAATTTATAAATTCCTTGAAGAAAGGATCTGAATTCTTGTGTTCTATAGTCTTCGCATTATTCATGTTTATTTGTTTAAATGATTTATGAGGTACCCGTCTCTCAGCAGCTATTCCAGATGGCATAAAAGATTAAAACAACAATTTCATAATTCATATCAAACTTGCTTGCTTAATCTTTTCATCCAAATGCCTGCTTATGTATGAGCCAATTAGGTCATATTCATATTCTCAAGAAATTCATAGCTCAAGAAATCTGGGACCTTGCAGAACTACTAGCAGTAAATTAGACTGACTAAAAAAAAAGACATGGAATAAAAAAGTATTGTGTCTCACTGAGCATTCGGTATTTTTCTTGTTGTACTTTTAACAGTCAACTGTAGTTTTCTAAAATCCACAAAAGGTTTAAGAATTTTTTAATCTTACAAACTCTTCTATAGATTGATTGTGCAAGAGTAATTAATCAGCCAAAACTAAACAAAGATATGAAGTCTGTACCATATTCTTTCCACATGCAACACCTCCATCTCAATCTTGTATAAAAATAGTAATTATTTAAATGTACTTTTCATGCAACTTCATCCTGTTCCATGCGGTAGGTAAGAGGAACATGCTGATCTGGGAACCACCTCTCAGATTTCTTTAGCAAGTGTAACCATTGCTGAAACATTGGATAATAAATTTACAGAGCTGGAAATCACCTCTGAGCTCCTGCTTAGTCCAGGAATCCAAATGAGGGCATTCCAGATAGTTAGCTATCTCATCTTTGTTTGAGCACATTCAGTAAAAAAAAGGTCCACTACTCCCTTGGGTAACTGCTTCCATTGTGAAACTTATTGTTAGGAATATGCCATCCTGTGGCTTAAATCCATATAATGAAATCTTGAACAGAAGTTTTACTTCCTTTGATGTAACATTCTTTCAGATATTTGAAGAGTGCTGTTTTTTCCACTTTCCAATTAGTCTATTCTGTTCAAGGTTAAATATACATAGCTCTTTCCAATACCTTTCATAAGGTTGGGTTTCTCTTAATTTTTCATTATTAATATTCAGCCAGAAGCCCTAAAATTATTAGAAGAAAAAATAGGTTACAGAAGATTAATGATACTATGACACCGTCTATTTAAAAATAGAACAAAATAAAGTAAAATAGAATAAAAATACAAATAAAAGTGATGGGGATGGATATAGAGATGAGAAATAAGTATGTAGGTCCAAACCTTAATCAAAGTAAGAGTCAAACCTATAATCTTCTAATACCAATTACAATCAAGCAAAACTTCATTACGTTCCTGGAAAATTCAGTGGAGAAGTTAACCAGTAAAAAGATAACTTCAATTTCAGAATAGCCTGCATAATGGGAAGAAGTGGAGTTATAAGCTCTTTGCTCCAATAACAGTAGAGAGGGTCTTCTGATTCATTTGGGGAATTGAAACAGATACACAAACCTTCTGCTTAAGAAATGTTACTATTATAGGACTACCATGTCAGTACTGAGGATTATGTATTAAATCTTGCTAATGTAAATGCTGTTCTATGTACTGTATAGCAGAATTCTATAGGGTAAGTAGGAAGTATGAGAGAACTATAGAAAAGGTCTTTCATACAGTAAAGTGGAATTTTAGAGCTCTAGAAATCTTTATCCTGATCAAAAACTGGCTTAGATTCTAATCTTCTGGTATATCCTTCTCTGAAGTTGTTTTAGTTTCTTTGAATTCTTAATAGGGTTCCAAAAACCGGATGCAATGCTCAATGTGGGATTACCAAAGCAGAATAAAATGCAATTTCCTGTGATTTGGAAATCATATTTCTGTTGATTGCATTCGTCTTCCTTTGAAATATACTGTACTATACTGCTGACTCATATTGAATTTGTAATCAACCACTATCCCGTCATCTTTTTCACAACCCATTACCAAACTAATAGCCATATCTTGTCAATCCTTATTTTCAGTCCATTTTTTTAACCTATCAAAATCATTATGGATTTTAGTTCTCTCTCCCATGGCTATTAGCTGTGTGTGGATGGATGGAAGCTGTAGAATAGCATCAATACAGCATGCAGAGGGGACTAAGTTAGGAAAGATTAATTTAGAACTAAAAATAGTGTGCTTGGCTATACTACCATTGACACTGTTCTGCAGAGTGGCTCAGCATGATGCAGCTTTTCATTGCTATTTATTTATTTATTATTATAAATGCCAGCATACATTTATATCTTTAGCACACCAGATTAACAATAACCTCTTCAATTTACATAGCAGTATGAATCCAATACACCCACCTTAAACCATAATGACAAATTTAAAAGAAAGGCTTGTCTATGAAAGTGAATTTTCAGATTTCAGATATTCAAAATTCCATAAACTTCCAAAGCCTCGAAGTCTCCATTCCCCTACAGAAGAAAGACAGAGCTATCAACTACTCCCCTAACCTCAGAACATCATCCTTGATCAGGTCTACTAGGTGTCCTACTTGGTGAGTGAAAGCAAGTGTCAATTGCCACAAACCTATGGAAGTCCTAATAATTATGAATCCTTGAGCTACCCTTGAGAGATTGGTCTCAGCATGTTGCTATATCCCTTAAATATTAGTATTCCAGGGATATTCCACACCAAATCCGAGAGTACCTCTGTCAGGTAGATATTATTAGACACATTTGTTATTCCAACCAGACTTTCAACCTCTCACATTTATCCATCTCCTGGCATAGTGACTCAGAAAGCAGTTTAAACTATGGCTCCTAAGTTGCTTAATCCTTTCCTAATATTGTCTTCCAAGTATGATTGAAGATACCACAATTCAGTGAAATAATTTGAAAGGACATCATGTTTGATGAGGTCAAAAATTGCTACTCCAAACAACACAAAGTACAATATCTTTCCTATAATGAGACATTTAGCACAATTGACACTTGTAATGTAATCCCAGCTGTAGCCAGTTTCAAAAGCCAAGATGGGCAAGTATCCCAGAAGCAGGTGTAGCTAGCAGCTTGCTTAGAAACTTGCACAAGCTGAAAGATATCCATAAGAACAGGATCAGGCAGTAATTTGGCACCTTTGAGTCTATTCAAATCAAAACATTGGCATGAGAGCAAATGGAGGTGACATTTTTCTATAGACAATGAGACCAGTAATCATAGTTTGTTACAGTAGACTGAAATGATTCCACTTTACAGATCCCCAACAATAAAAAAAATCACTTGGCTGACATTGATCAGGTGCCAGTGAGGCAGAGAAATAAGCTTTTTCATTAGCATCACTCTAGAGAGGAAATTGAGTGGGGGTAACCATTTGTCAGTGGGAGGAAAATGGTTCTTAATAAAACAGGGACTGGTAAATGATGGGTGAGAATTCCCTATTATGTATTTTATTTATTTGTTTGTTTAAATTGTATCTCTCTTTTCTGTCTGTATGACATTCAGGAAGGCTTACAGCAGTCAATAGTAAAAACTGCAAAAAAAAATAGAAATAGTGCTAATAAAATTAGAAGTAAAATTAAAACTGCTATTTATTAAAATAAGTGCAATTTTATTTTTACTGAATGCTAGCAGAGTGCGA